AACAAAAAGAGCGTGATCGATCCATACCCACATAGCAAACAACAAATCGGCACGGCAACTTTCACAAAAACATCCAGCTCCACACCAAGATTCCAGCGGCAACAAGAGCGCCTCCATCCAGCGACACGCTCGCTCGGGCAGCGCTTGGCGATCTTCCTGGGGCAGCTTCCTCGGGAGCCGAGGAGGAGGAAGACGGCGTCTCAGAGGAGGGCGGCGCGGGTGGCGACGCGGCTGGAACCATCACCGGGCTCGGGCTGGGAGCGCTCTCGGGGCTGGGGCTGGGGCTGGGGCTGGGGCTCGGGCTGGAGCTCGGTCCCGGAGTGGGCGCTGGACTGAGCTCGGGAGCTAGTGATGGAGCCACGGACAATGCAGGTCCCGGGGCTCCCGCGGGCGCGAGCGCGAAGATCTCCGGAGGCAGCAGCACGCGATTGACGGCGTAGACCGCGACTGGAGGAGTGTCGAGCTCGGTGTCCGTGACGTCGGCCCGGTTGAGACCAGTGACGAAGCTGACGCCTTTGCCGCCGGCGGTGGAGACGTTGAGCTCGAAGCCGCCGATCCTGGAGGAGGCGACGGTGGGCAGCGGCGTGGCCACCGACCGGAGCGATCCCATGGTGAAGTACGTGGCGATGGCGTGGAACTGGAGCAGCGCAATCTTCTGGGCCTGCGAGAGCTCCGCCAGAGCATTGGGCGGGAGCGCCTTGAATGCGTCATCGTCGGGGGCGAGGAGCGTAACCGCGGACATGGATCGGAGAGCCTTGTCCACGCCGGTGGAGGCCAGGAGGCCCAGGAAGGTGTTGAAGTTGCCCTTGGCCTTGAGCGCGGCGGTGAGATTGTTGACGCTGGGGGCGGCGCCCTGGTCGATGCCCAGATCCATGGGCATGAGCGGATGATCCAGCTCCATGTAGCTCATGTCGTACGGGTGCTGCGTGACGTTCTTGACGACGGTGGCGTTGGAGGCGGCGCCGGGGACGCCCAGATGGATGAGCCCGCCGTGCGAGACGGAGACATTGACGAAGCCATACTCACCCGTGGGCTTGCCGGTGGTCTGGTAGAGCGTGGCGAGCACAATGCCGGTGGCATTGGTCATGGAGCGGATCTCCTTGATCTCCAGGTACTGTAGCACGCAGTGGTAGCGCAGGATATCGGCGATGACGAGGAGATTGTTGGCGCCCACGGAGGCGATGACCGGGTCGAGCACGGCGTTGGGCGGGATGAAGAGCGTGATGGAGGAGCGCGAGTCCACCTCCTTGATCACGCCCGTCTCGGACAGATACCTGTTGAATGTGGAGAGATGGTCGAACTTGGCGAGAACCCGGGTGGAGTTCACGGTCTTCGCGAGCGCCGTGGGCGACCACGGCGCCGCAATGCCGATGATGAGCAGTAGCATTACCAGCGACGACGCCATCGATCGAATCTCTCCTCCTCCCTCGCTGCTAGCTATATTACTTAACGCTACGAGGATCAGCGCAGAGCTACTAAGCTTACTCGCGGGCGAGCGAACAAGGCTCTTTCTTCTGCCCGCACAGCGAAGACACGCTCCTCCAAGCTGTGGGATGCCACGTGGACGGCCCCGATGCGGTAAGAATCCAAGGCTGGCCAATCTTAATATCCAACGGCTTCATTTTGTCGGTGGGTCCAAAAAACGGTCAGGCACCTGAATATCCGCGCCGCAAGTCGCATATTCCTTCCCCTGGGGATTAGGACTCGGCTTTTGCGTAAACAAAGCGTTTAATCCATGTGCGCAGTAAATGCCGGTGCTTTTGGTACGGCCTCCTCCGGATGCAGCCTAGAGCGTGATGAAGGAAATAATTTGAAAATGTTCTTGGAATGGCCCACGCCCCACTTAGGTTGGTGGACCATGTGAAACTGAAAGAAAATTGAGATGGTAGTACCAAATGCCATCCATTGATAATCGATGGATTCGTGTGGCGTGCTGGGATTAGCTCTAATCCTTGTTCCTCCCCGGCTTTGCTTAAGATTAAAAGAAAATGGGGGTTTGAACTTGGAAAAGGTGGCGAGCTTTCGTGGGCGAGAAGAGCACCCGGCTGGATTGAATTGAATTGAATTTGGAGCCAACCAACCCAGCCCCACACATATATCACATCCCTTGATTCAATCGCAAAAGGCGGTAGGAGAGATTTCACTGTGGCTGGTCCACGCTCCCACTAACTTCTCTAACTTCATTTGCCCATCCAAACAGGAGGAAGACGAAGAAGAAAACGCCGACTCGTGTAGCTAAAGGCCTATACGGCATACAAACAAGGTATACGCGCGACTCTAGTCAGGAATCAATGACTGATTCATCAATGTTTTCGTGGACGTCTCCACTCACTCACTCACTCGTATTCCTCCTTGTAGCTTTGCATCTGCGCATTCCATTGGCTCGTCGTGGCCACACTACAAACATGCCAAATCATTTGGTGGGGGAGACGAGGATCAATCTCCATCGTCTATCATGTGAGCGTCAATTCCGTTGTCGCGTTTGTTCCAGAATTTCACGCTCCAGCCGCGCCAAGAAACAAGCCCTAATCCGGGCCGCATTAGCAAATCGCCCGCGAAAATTGTGCTCGCGCTGTACGGCCGCGCCAAATGATTCGGCAATGATTTTCAACCGGGCCACGTCAGCGCCCGGTAGGTGAACACTTTATTTACCATCGCTTAGGTTAAGCTAAAGCGGCAGAAGAAAGAGAGAGAGAAAGAAGAGAAAGACGAGAAGAAAGCTCTTCCTCCATCTCATCGCATCGCATCGCATCGCATTTGTTTGTTTGCTCCATCGCCATCGCCATCTAGCACGAGAGAGAGGAGGGTGAGTTGAGCTAGCGATAGCGCGAGCACGAGAAGGAAGAGATCGGTGCTTCCGTCCTCGGAGGCACAGACAGTAGGTCTCGGCCATTTGATTCGGCTCTCTCGCTGGAGCTGGAGCTGGGACAATCTCTCAATCGCCCAAGCGCTTGAATTGGCAGACGCCAGGTACGACTCTCGTGTCTCTCCGGGCCAATCTTTGCTTGGTGTGTTTGGCTGTGGGCAAGATAGAACATCTGACTCATCACTTCATTAGTTCTTGCTTCACCGAGTCCTTTGCATGGAGTTGACTTGATTGAGCGATTGGAGTGCTTTTGGCGTTTTGCTGGAATTCCCCCAATTGTTCCTCGGCCGCTGCGGGTGGATGGTATTAAATTCGCGTGACCTCCCGGTGGGGGGAGAGAGAGAGAGAGAGATGTGTTTGTACGAGAGAGAGAGAGAGAGAGAGAGTGAGAGTGAGTGAGTGGAACTCTTCTCTCTTGGCTCCTCCAAGGTCTGTCTCCCTTCCTCTCTCTCTCACTTAATTTTTTTCTTTCTTTTTCTTCATGGTTGATGTCACCACACTCCTCCATTCCACTTGTGATCTCTATCACTTTAACCAAGACACTTTTATCCATTCCTACCTTGGTCTAAGGGAGAGGAGGAGATCGGGATCTGATCTCCTTCTCCATCTGGATTGCAGCAGTGCCGCGGTACAAGGCGCACTACGCAAACGGGTCTTTGGCTCCTTTTCTTTTTTCACTTTTCGACTCTCTCTTCTATCTTCGCTTTGTGCTTGCTTTGCTTTCTTTATTCTTTCCAGTTCTCCTTGCGTGTTCTCCTTGCTTGCTCTATGTGTGTGTTTGTTGAGAGATGGATAGATACACAATGTTGTGTTGTGCATTTGCACTGAAGTCTAGATTATTCTCTCCTCCATCTTTTCTTTTTTTTTTCTTCCTTTTGTGCGAGTGTGTTGGCTGGCTGGTTGGCTGGCTGGGCACTGTGCTGCTGCTTGCCGCTGCGGGTTTTCATTTCGCACACTGGTGGTGTCATACACACACATTGTCTGTTATCTGGCTAGCATAAAGGTGATGAACAGCGCTTAGGTACCTCTGAATAAGTTTGAAAAATGGGCATCTTCTTGTGGCTAGTCAGGCTGGGGCATTCTTGTGACAAATACTCTAATGCCTTGCTCGAAAGTGACACTTGGGTGCGTGCATGTGTTTGCCTCCGCGGTGGAAAAATGTGGTTTTGATCCTCGCAACTCTCTCTTTTTCTTCTTACCCTTGCTGCGCTGCAGATTAAAAAACTCGCCCCGCCTACCTACGCGCGCAAGCCAAAGTCAGTGGCACAACAGCGGAAGGGAGTGTTGTCAACAAAAGGCTGGCAAAGCAAGAAAAGCCTTGCGGAGGAGGAGGAGGAGCGATATCACGCAGCCATGCATTATGCCGCTGCTGCTCTTCCAGCTCCGGTCCACGACGTGGCCGCATCGCCCTCCTCCTCCTGCACGTCAATCTCTCGCCAACAGTCGCCGGAGGAGTCGACCGAAGCTCTCATTCCGGGTCTGTCACACGACCTCGCCTTCTACTGCCTCTTCCGCCTCCCGCTGGCGAGCCAGGCCGTGGCGAGGCTGGTGTCCAAGTCGTGGCTCGTGTCCCTGTCGAGCAGGGAATACTTCCAGGGGCGGCGGGGGCTGGGATTCACGGAGCAGTGGCTGTGCGTGCTGGCCTTCCACAAGAGCAGCGGCAAGATCCAGTGGCAGGCATTCGATCCGCTGCGGCAAAAGTGGCACCTCCTGCCGGCCATGCCGTGCAAAGGCCGGGTGTGCCCGCCGGGATTCGGCTGCGCGTCGATAGCGGACCAGGGCGTGCTGTTTGTGTGCGGCGGCATGCAAACCGACATGGACTGCCCGATGGACTCGGTGCTCAAGTACGAGATGCGCAAGAACCGGTGGACGGTGGCGGGGAACATGTCCACGCCGCGCTCCTTCTTCGCCAGCGGCATGATCGACGGCCGCATCTACGCCGCCGGGGGCAACAGCGCCGACCGCTACCTCAGCTCCGCCGAGGTGTATGACCCGGTGATGGATCTGTGGAGGCCGGTGGCGAGCATGGGGACCAACATGGCCAGGTACGATGCAGCGGTGCTGGATGGCAAGCTTTACGTGACCGAGGGGTGGAGTTGGCCGTTTTTGTATTCGCCGCGAGGACAGATCTACGATCCCAAGGCGGACCGCTGGGAGAACATGAGGCTGGGGATGCGAGAAGGGTGGACGGGCCTGAGCGTGGTGCTGGACGGACACTTGTTCATCATCTCGGATCTCGAGGACAGTGTCAAGCTCAAAGTCTACGACACCGGGACCGACAGTTGGAGGTGCGTGAGCGGATCGGCCATGCCGCCCAACATGGTCAAGCCCTTCTCGGTGAACACGCTCAATGGCAAGCTCCTGGTGGTGGCCAGGAGTCTCCACGTCGCGATTGGGAAGGTCACGCACACGACGGCGAGTCCGGGTGGTGCGCACGACATGACCAGCGTCGCCGCCACCACCACGACGAGCGTCGAGTGGCACTCGGTGGCCGCGCCGCACTGCCTAGCCGACTTTGTGCCGTCCAACTCGCAGGTGCTGCATGGGTGGTTTGACGGTGGTATGGAGATTGGCGACTCAATCTAGAAGTAGCAGCAGCAGCAGCACAGCAAGCAAAGTTTTCTTAGTTTTGTTCAGGCAGGGGATAGGTATGGAGCCGCAGGAGACGCTCCAGACAGAAAAAAAAGCGACCTTTGTCGGCTGAGTTCTTAAAAGTCATCCTCCAGAAACCAGAAATATACGGAAGATCTTGTCGTGCTCTAGCCACAAACAAAGAAAGTTAAAGGTGACGCTCTATCTTAATCTAATCACCCATGAAAATCAAGATAGAAACAAGATAGATAGGCTTTTATGGCCGCTGCTTTTCTCGCAGCAAGCTATGGAGCAGCCGCACCTTTCAATCACAGTGGCTGGAGCGGCAGAAACAAGGCATGGAATTGGAATCTCCATCGCGGGTTCAAGAGCTCAAGAAATTTCAAGTGGTGGTGCCAATGCGTATCGAGCAAGTCTAACTACGGCTATGGTGGCAAGCCAGCCGAGGAGGTGAGTGTGATGGTCACCGGCAGCACAGGCTACATTGGTCGATTCGTGGTCAAGGAGCTCCTGAATCGGGGCTACAAGGTCGTGGCAGTGGCACGCCAGGGATCAAACGCAAATCCCTCCGTGGAAGAAGAGAAATCCGCCTCCGGATCCTTAGAGTGTGTTACGGGGGATGTGACCAACAAGGAATCCCTGGAGAAGTCGCTAATATCGCAGGGAATTGGGAAGATAGATGTGGTGGTGTGCTGCCTGGCGAGCCGGAGCGGGGGAGTGGCGGATTCATGGAACATCGATTACCAGGCCAGTCGCAACAGCTTCGATGTGGGATTGGAGCTTGGAGCATCGCATCTGGTGCTCCTCTCGGCGATTTGCGTGCAAAAGCCACTCCTCCATTTCCAGCGAGCCAAGCTCAAGCTCGAGGCGGAGATCCAAGGGCTGCCATCTAATCCGACGTGGAGCATCGTGCGGCCCACGGCGTTTTTCAAGAGCTTGGCAGGCCAGGTGGACATCGTCAAGGCCGGGGGGCCATTTGTGGTGTTTGGCGATGGACGCCTCTGTTCTTGCAAGCCCATCAGCGAATCTGACCTCGCATCTTTTATCTGCGACTGCATCTCGGATGAATCCAAGCACCAGAAGCTGCTGCCAATCGGTGGTCCTGGCCGAGCCTACACTCCTCTGGAACAGGGCGACCTCCTCTTTGAAATTACCGGGAAGTCGCGAAGATTTGTTAAGGTTCCCATCCAGATTATGGATTTCGCGATTGGGCTGCTCGATTCCATAGCTGGATTCTTCCCAGACAATGCGGGCCTCCAGGATGCTGCCGAGTACGCGAAGATTGGGAGATACTACGCAGCGGAGAGCATGCTAGTGCTAGATCCGGACACCGGATGCTATGATGCCGATGCGACACCCAGCTATGGCAGTGATACATTGGAAGCATTCTTCCAAAGAGTGGTTATGGAGGGCATGGCAGGTCAGGAACTGGGAGAGCAAGTTCCATCGTTCTTGCGTAGTGATAGTTAATACTCTTCTAAACAAAAATCAGTCTTTTTACAAAAGACCTTCATTAATAACTATAATTTACTGATAAGGGGGATATGGTCATGAAAAAAAAAAATCTTTTTGGCCAATGGAAAAGCACTATAGCGTTGGCTTGAGAGAGGTAATATACGTATTTGACATGTGTCTATTTGGGTTTGCAGATGTCATGGCATCCGTGGAGTGGTAGAGCTACAGCCAGCCTTCAACATGGCCAAAACCATCAAAGAGTTCAACTTTAGTCCTTATTCTTCTGCAATAAAGAACAAGGTTAAGGTAAGTTCTCAAAGCCATAGCTTGCAAACCCCATCTACCTCTCACAGCTCAAGTGTCATTGTATTCTCTAGAGCTAAAACTTTGACAAGCTTCCCTTATTCTCGAGCCACCAAGCCCAAGCAACAGCATAGCTTGCATCATCCACTCCTTCAACCTCTATCATGTCCAGAAACTCAAGAGCCATCTCTCCCTACTAGTTCTTTGAGTTATGAAAAGTCCCTAAACTATGATCTAGCATTAAAAGACAAAAGATGCTATGCCTTTTCTTAAGGTTCACCACCACCAAATTACCTCAAAAGCTCCACCACACAACTTTGCCATTATGAGTGGTTAAGTTCCTTACATATCCTAGCATTAGAGCATTCCAGGAGACAAGCATAAGACACACCAAACAATTGGATTAGGTTCTTGATTTCTGCAGTGTAGTGGTGGTCAAAGCAATGAAAAGCATGTGAGGCTTTAAGCTCACCATGGCTCAAAAAGGCATGCCAATCATTTTGTTGCTTGCTTTAGCACAACTTCCTTTTTATTACAGTTCAAGGTGTGTGCAAATTGTGCTCTTGCTATGCAAAGAACAGCTAATCTGGGTGAGACATTCAGCAACTCTAGGAAGGTCCTGCTGTGTGAAGAACAACTAATTTATTAGGTGACTCTTGGAAATCCTTGTTACCAAAGGAGCTTAAGATCAAAATAGTGTTATTTTTTTGTGTGTGAGAATGCTCCTTTATGGCCCTTTGGAGTTTAGCGTTTTTTCACTCTCTGAAAATTTAAAGTATTTAAATATTAGGAGACATATGTCACTAATTGCCTCAAACTATTACACATTCATACTCAAAACAACCTTGAACATGCAGTGTAATAATTTAAATGTTGAGCATGTTAATACAAAAACTTTAGACCTTGACAATGCTAATATAATAAAACACATACAAATATAGACTTTGAAAATACTCATCATAGTTGCACTGTTTATAAAATAGTGATAGCAAATTAAATTAAATTAAATTTTTGATTGTTAGAATTTAAATAATAAAGGCATATATTACTTTAGAATACATAGTAAAATTTACCAATATGGCTTCAACATATTCTGCTACCAGCACACTACCATCATATAGATAATTTTATATACTTGATACATATAAGGCTATCAACATAGAAAGAAAAATTCATTTAATATAAATTCTAATTCTAATTTGTTACTATAATTAGATCATATGTTAAAAATAATAAACTCTACACAAGTCTTTTGAATGATGTATGATCTTAAATCATGGAAGATTTTCTATAAATTTAATGTTTCCTTTTTTCTTTTGATAGTAGAAAGAGGAAATATCAATTGTAAATATCCTTTAATCACATCCTTATATTAATCTTATAAATAATAACTTACAAATATTTCTATATGTTATTAATTTATCCAACACTAATTTTTTAAGTATCAATAATGTGACAATCTGTGAGTGCATGGAATATGGAAAGAAAATATAAAAAATGTGCATATCAATTAGCCCAAAAACCCTAATTTATATACAAGAGTGAGTGGTCTGGATTGAAACTAATCCAATAGCTACCAAAATCCCACTACACTAATATTAGTATATGGCATTGTAACCATACACTTGGACCTTACATCATCCCCTCTTTTTAGAATAATGGAAGACCATCAGGGTTCTCTTGTAGATAGGCTAGGATCTGGAGGAACATCAGGATGAGGCATTGCTAGATCTGTAGGTGGTATTAGTTGTTCTTGATCCCTTTATATGAAGTGTTTCAATTGTTGTATATGCACAACTTTTGGAGGATTAGCTTGTTGGACATCATACCAAACCTCATAAACTTGTGGTTTACAACACCTATTATAGTCCTTTCCACTAAGCAAGGAGCCCCTTAGATAAACCACGTACTGTAAGATGGGGAAAACAGACTAACACCAAGTCATCCACTTTGTACTTCGCAAGTGGACGATAATGGGAGTTGTAGCGCTATTGTTATCCCATTTGTATACGGCCTAAGTGTTTGGTAAACTCTGTTTGGACAAGTGGAAGAATGCTCGTCATATACTAATCCCATGACATAACATCAGCATCTCATGGCAATTGCAAAGGTAAACTTAGCTCCATTGGTAATATTAGATTATGACCATATAGAAATTTATATAATGAAGCACTAACAAAACTTTGCACCTCTGTGACATATGCATACTAAAAAGGTAGCAAATAACCATCTTAATCCGAATGCTGAAAATTCACATATTTCATAATCATCTCTTTGAACGTCCAAACAAGCCATTCCACTAAACCGTCTAATTGTGGATGATAAGCACTCGTGACAGTGTGGCGTATCCCCAACCGAGACGTCAAAACATGAAATGCCTTAGCCATAAATTCGCTCTGGACAAGAATGGTGGAACACCACTTAATTGAGGAGGAAGTATCCAACATCAGTTGCAAAGGCACTAACAAAAGCACCAACTTCCACCCAATGAGTCAAGTAGTCAAAAGAAATAATAACATACTCATTGCTATCAGTCAATTATGGAAAAGTTCCCATAAGATCAAATGCCACATATTTAAACGGACAGGAAATTGCAATTGACTCTAACCATCCTTCCGCAGCATGAGGGGGAGTATTACGAGCTTGACATCAAATGCAACTATGCACATATTGGATAATATCATGTTGCATCTCTGGCTAATAGAAAGACTTGTGTAGCTTCTCAATCACATAAGGATGTCCCATATGCCCACATAAAATAGAAGAATCATAGTAGGCATAGAGAAACCGCAAAAGAAAGATTGAAGGCACCACCAGCCGTAAATGATCATTAGGATCTGTCCCCACAAAATAAACAAGGCCGTCTTCAAGGTGATATTGAGAATGTAAATGCCAGAATGGCAAGTTATCAACAAGTGATGCAAGATTTTCAAACCCTTCTTGAAGCTTTCGAATGAATCTTATCAAGAGAAGGTAGGTCTTGCTTTATATCTTGTGGATAATGAATGTCAAGTACAGCAACTGCCGATGGCACAAAATCCTCATTTAGAAAATCCACAAATGCCGGAACAATAGGCTTGTCAAAAATATGTGAAGAGAGCAAAGAAGGAAGAAGAATTCGAGAAAGGGCATCAGCATCAACCATAGAACTCCTTGAGGGATGAACAACATCAAAATTATATATCTGAAGTTTCAAAGCTCACCAAGCAATATGACCAACTAGGTTTTCCCACTTCAATAATGAAGTTGTAGCACACCTGAATTTGGACCCGAACTTCAAGCCTGTTGCGCTACGAAACGAGGGTCCGATACAATCCCACGAGCACCAGCTCCCCATATCCAGCACTTGCATGCAAAATGGTGTCAAATGGAGTCTGACACAATTTTGGCATACCGGTGGCCTAACGCGAGGAGGAGGGTACCCCACCGACTAGAGCAACGTGG